CAGAAACCCAACAGTGGCGTTCTATTAGCTCACGACAAGTTACTCGGGAATGCGACAGCCTTGTATCCTTTCGTCAGCACCAGCTTCAAGACCTCTTCAATATCGAAGGGCGAATACAGTCACAGCGAAAACAATATGTTCCAAGGTGAAGTTCCATCTCAGTTGGTTGTGGCTCTCGTCAGCAGCGAAGCCTTCAACGGAAGTTATAAGAGGTCACCGTTCAATTTCCAGGCGTACGACTGTGATTTTCTGGCGTTGTACATCGACGGACAGACGTTTCCAGCTAAACCATTACAACCCAACTTTAGTGGCAAGAACTACGTGGAAGCCTACAGGGGACTGACGGCTTTCAGAAGCGACGTGGACATCTCGTATTTCGAATACTCTGGTGGTTATACGCTCTTCGTTCTCAACATAGACGACAACAGGGATTTTAATACAAAGCGTAGAGGAGATTGTAGATTAGAACTTCGTTTTGGTAGCGCCCTACCGGAGAGCATCACTGTGCTCATGTATGCCAAGTTTCCCACGATCTTACACGTGGATCAATCCCGCAGCGTTTTACTACAATGAACAACTCGGAACTGGAAGAACTGTTACAAGACTATCCCGTACAAGTGATTTGCGCCAACGAGTTACCCGTGTCGATCGGAAAGAGACCAAGAACGTTCATAGTTAATACTGATCCGTGTTCCCGACCGGGAAGACATTGGACCGTATTTCACTTCACGACACGGGGACCTGCAGAATTTTTCGATTCGTTGGGAAATCGTCCACAGACCTACAAACCTCGTTTCGAAGACGTACTTGTGAATAACGGACCTCGATATCTTTACACATCGACCGGAATTCAACCGAACGATAGCGACACTTGCGGAGCCTATTGCGTTTACTTCGTGCGAGAACGTTATCGACCTCGTTCGTTCAGAGGCATCATGAAAGACTTTAGTGTGTACGACTTGAACGGCAACGATCGAAAAGTTATAAGAGGAGTACGACGAAAAGAAACTAAGCAGAGATGGAGCGAGAAAACAGCACGAACAGCGAACGTTGGCAGTTGATGGGAAGGAATCTACCGAAATCAGAAATCGTGTATTTCTGTCAAATGTTGGTAGTATACATCATTATCGTCACCTCAATCGTTAATCTGACAGTGCAGAACGGCAAGAACGAATTGTGGATCAGTCTATTGAGCAGTGCCATCGGTTACGCTCTACCCAGTCCTACACTGAAGAAAACATAAGAGAGACCTCGGAGCAGTCCGCAGACGTACCATCATGGCGTACCCCTTTTTACCGTGTTCCAGTATGTGCATCACCGGACAAACGAATTGTGGAAAGACGCGTTTCGTATACAAGCTGTTGCAACACCTGGAAGACATGTATGTCGAAGACCCACCGGTGCAAGTGCTCTACTGCTATGGTATACATCAACCTCTATTTGACAAAATGGAAGAGACAATCCCTCGCCTTTCGTTTCACAAGGGTTTACCATCTACGGAAACGATTGAGGAATTTACGGCCGATAGACGACACCGATTGATCGTGTTGGACGACTTGATGCATCGCGTGGTACGCGATGTAGACATGGAACTATTATTCACACAGGGTTCACACCACAGACGACTGTCCGTCTATTTTTTGTCTCAAAACTTATACGTACAAGGAGCTAGATCGAGAACCATTGCCCTAAACACCACATACTTGGTGCTGATGAAGAATGTGCGGGATGTGTCTCAAATATCCACCTTGGGTCGACAACTCTTCCCCGGAAGATCGAACGTATTAACTGAGTCTTATACCGACGCCACCTCCGAGCCGTACGGATATCTGGTAGTCGACCTTTCAACAAATTCGGACGACACTTATAGATTGAGAACTCACGTGTTTACAGGAGAAGACACGATCGTCTACGTTCCCCGAAAGCCATAAGAGGATCGAAAACAATCCCGAGACCGAATCATGAGTCGTTTGTTGGAGGACCAAGTGCATTTTCTAGAATTGTTGCGCACCGCCAAGAAAGACCAGAGGAAGTCTTTATTAAAAACGATCAACAAGTTACAGTTGAAAGCCTTGAGTGAAATCGCTCACAACGTCATTAAGGGAACGATTGTTTTATCGTCGGATGACAAAATCAAACTCAGGGGATACAAGAAAATTCTAACCACCCTCGGGAGAAAATCGTCGACTCAACGAGATCGTCTGAGTTCGCTTCAACGTGGGTCGACTGCCGTCGTACATCTTTTGAACGTCGCAAAAACATGGACAAGATGATACTGATCCCATACGACAGATATCAGAAATTATGTAAACGTCAGACGGGCGAAGGAACCGAATCGTCAAAGAAATCTAATCTAGGATCAACAAAGAAATCAAAGCTCGGACCCCCTGGAATGCCTGCCAAGAACGATAAAACATGGATCTCTTTATGACTTTAAACTGTTCTTTTGCAAATAATAATAATAATGTATTCTTGTGTATACTGTATTTATTTGTTGCATCTGTATTTTCTTGTATTAATAAAATGTAGAATACGATTGGTTTGGTTTTGTTGATTCACGTCCCGTTACTCGTAGTGATTCAACATCATTAAGAATTATTGATCTGATGCACTAGATGAAATAAGACAGATCGAAGATTAAATACATTTATTAACATACACAATAATCAGTTTACAAAGGATAATTTTACATCTATATACACATAGACATCCTTTTTAACGAGTCAAAATAGCATTCACTTCAAAAATTACGCATAAGAATTTACACTATGAGTAAAACAAAAATCTTCTAAGGTTATTTACATAAGGTTTTGACGACTCGAAATTTCATATTATTTTAATTTTTCATGGTCAAATTTATAGAGAGTATGTTTTTTCTAGCATTAAATTCATTCATCGACACAATTTGGTGTGCAATTTTTACAATGGAAAATACATGGAAACGAATAAAAAAAAAACAATACATAAGATCACATTTCAATCATCTTCTAATTTTGACACGTAAAAATATATTCCATTCAAAACTGACGTCTGAAAATTATAACTTTGGATAAAAAAGATCGCCTTTCTATGTTATTTACATATGGTTTTAAAGAACTCCAAAAGTTCAAGACCAACACTTGGAACATGATTAATCTTCAAAGTTTGTCTCCAATATATGAATCAAATAGCGGTCCTGATCGTCGTGGTCTACTTCCATGGGTGTGTCATCTCTGGGTGGTTCGTCGAGGTCCATAGATGTTTCTTCTTCATTAATTTCTTCCTTTGGTACGGGACATAGCTCTATATCGAGAGGAACGGTCGATACTCCATCGTTCAAGACTCGTCTTTTACAATAGAAATACGAGAACCCATTCCTTGTCTGCTGATAGGTGGAGATGCCGTTATTGAGGACTCTGAATCCTTTGAGAGTACCGCATCCCGCTCGTTGAGTACCTAGAACGTGACGAAAGGTGGTCATCGGAGCTTTGACACGACGTTTGGTAATTCCTTTCGAACTGAATTTCACTTCTCGGACTTGGCGGGAACGTCTGTGAAGTTTCTTGACCGGAATCTTCTTGGCACGTCTTAATAAACGAAAGGATGCCATCGCTGTGCTTGAAGTGGACACGGATTTGCTCTTTTGTACGATGTATGTTTTCGAGCAAAGTCCGATCATGACGTCACCCTCGTACTCCACTTTAAACAATCCCGGTGTTCGTTTGTCATACTTGGCGTGTATCGAACAGCATGTTCGAGGACACCATTCGGGTTCGACATCGTCCCGACAACATTCGGTGAGCGATCGATGGTACGCTTCTTGCATCTCTGGTTTGACAACGGAAGACAGATCGGGTCTGGATAAGGCCATGTAAGCGGAATCGGTGTCCATCTCACAGTACGCAAAGTCGGATCGGTCGACGTAGACGTCCAAAAAGTCGTAGTAGAACTGGAGCATTCTCAATTTGGCGTACTGTAAAATAAAGTATCCAATCTGAATCGGGAGGTTGATGTCGAGTTTCTCTTTGGCCTTTTCGACTTCGAAATACTCTTCTTCTTTTAGCAGAGTAGTCAACTTCTTGAATTGTGGTTTGTTGGCCTCGATCATGGCATTACCCTCGCCCTGGACGTACTTGACGGACTGGAATTTTTCTTGGTCCATAATAGTAGATCCGTACGCACTGTTGCCTTCCATTTTCGACGTATCGGCGATGATGGCTTTATCGGGATGTGCATCTCCCATTCGACGATTGTCGCTAACCGTTTTTACAAAGTCCCGAAAACAACGTTGTGGTGTAAATTCGATCACTTGATGGATCTTGGAGACCACCATACCGTGCTGCAAGTACCATTTCAACAGCGGAGTGGCGATCAACATCTGACGAGCTCGCATGCCACCAATTAAAAGTCGACGAGGTTTTTCCGATAATTCGAATCGTCGGACGTGCTCTTGCATGTGTTCGCCGATGATGTCGAAAGGGACGTCGGTGGTACAGAAGAGAGGCGACATCTCTTCGAAATATTTGAACGGTGTCATGGTCGGATGTTGAAAATACGACGGCCATTCGTCGGGAACTCGGATGTCGCATTCCACCATCCCAAAGAGTCGATCGTTCAGAACACCCTCTAGAATTTCGTTTTCGGTGACGGAACGTTGCGGCGTCGGGGGTTTCCGTGAATCGAAGAAGTTTTTCAAGTTTTTGTCTCCTCGAATCTCGACTCGATAGCGACACTCCCATTTTTCTACCAGTTGGTATCCCTGCTTTTGGATCAGAGACGACGTTTTGGCAGTCTTGTCGTACTTGGCCTGTCGTCCTGTTCGCCATTTCTGATCTTTGATCGACTTTGTCATCCAACAATCGTGTCCGTGCCAATAACATCCGTGGAATTGGTAGACGGTGTTAGTTTGCACATCGAAGCCATCCACGGGGTAGGGACCGATCTTTTTCTCTTTGCCCGTATTTAACTTATGCTGGATGTGGAGACCATGCGTTTGGTTGAGGTAGTCCAACCAGTCATACATCATCGTATATCTGTCTCTTTTCTTGGGTTTGAATCCATCCTCCAAACGTCGACGAACAAAGGCTCCAGTAGGCATGTCCTGGTCGATGGCCCACAGATAGAGAGCGTTGGCATCGAATCCGAGAATCTTCTGACAGGGCTTCTCTGGATTGTTTCGAATATACGATTGTCCGACTTCGTGGTGTCGATTGAAAATGATGGACGGTCCACCGGTTAAATTCTGTTTGACGGTGTGGTATAGATCGCTATTGGCTTCGTCGAATAGGGCAAAGGAGGCTCCGGCCTGTCGACCCGTATCGAAGAGCATACGTCGTGCGAGTCCCGGTACGGATATGGAGGATTTAAAGATGTCGATATCTCTGTCGAAATAACATTTTTGAAGATTTTGCACGGCCTGGACAAACGGTCCGACGTCTAAATTATTGTACCACACGAGAAAGTCTCGAAACGTAGACATGTCGTTCTCGAACCAGACGTTCTGACAGAATTTGTATTCTTCCATGGTGATGTTGGACTCTTTCAAAGAGCTGTAGAAAGCTGCGTGTGGAGGTAATGCAGGATGATCAAGCTTTTCAGCTCCGTCGAACCACTCGTACGGAAAGAATCCTTTGTTGTCGATGACATCAAATGCTTTCAGAAATTTTACATAACTGACCCCCGGGGCTAAATACGACGTGATGTCCAGAAATTTGAATTTATCGTTAGCCAAACAGGCGTAACTATTGTTCCTTTTCACGGTAAAGTTTTTTCCCGGTTGGTGCATGTCTAAAGTTTTGGCAAGATGGGTTTTGACCAGATTCATGTCGTATTTAGCCGAGTTGAATCCTAGGACGATGGTCTGTCGACAGTAGGCGTCGAGTTCTTCTTTCAGTTTTTTAAAAACGTTTTTCGTTTTTTCGTTCACTTCAAAAAGTTCTTCGTCGTCCAGGAACGCGTCAAGTTTAAACTCGTCGTCGTCGTCGTCTTCTAACAAGGCACGCATCGGATTTTGAATGTCTTTCTCCAGTTGATCGAAGGCATCTTCAAATGAGTGTCGTGTAAGCTCGTATGATTTGTCGCCGATCTGGTTCATGTAGTCCACCATCTTACGTAAGAGCACCTGCATATCAGTTTCCACGATACAGTGAGGTTCGAAAAATCCATCTACATTAGAACAGACAGAAACGGAAACGGGATCGTGTCGTTGCGTCCACGTCAACTTCTCGGAATTCGAGTCTTGGATAGATACGAGCATGGCCTCGAAATCGTAGACGACAAACCATTTGAAGAGCCGTTCTTGCACGTGGATGCCCTGTTCTTCTAATTTATCGAAAATGGTTTTCGGGTTGGAATAGAATCCTCCTTTAAAATTGTAGACGGTCTTTCCGGTACATTTTAATTGATGTCGTTTCATGTTATTTAACCGGTTGAAATGCCGGTTACAGGTCCCGCATTGATATTTTTGGGTGTACGCCGTTAAATTGGAAATGTAAGACAAATGATGGTCGAATTGGTTGACGTTCATATTGTCTTCATACTGACATCTGGATTTGTAGACGGTTAAAGCCACACCGTCGTCTCTAAGATGGTACACATTGACGTTGGTCTTGAAACAATGTTCGAAATAGACCGTTTGGTGAAGTGGTAACCCCTTGAATTTCTTGACATCGACTTCGACTTCTAGATGTTTGTCCGGAGCAAACTGAATCCATTCTTCAAACAGGCGTTTGGTGTGCGCTTCTAGATCAATTCGTTGATGTCCCCTGTGCACGGCCAAACATCGGAAGGCGCATAGATGGTCCTTGTAGACAGTTCCTTTTCTACTTTTGTTTAGGGCGATGATCGATTTGGATACGGTGATGTATTCCGGTAACTGATCGCCAATGTATCCCAATGGATAGTTCAAATGATACAGGACGAATCGAGCGTTAGTGACCAGGTACGGTTTCCACTTGGTATCCGGTCTTTGCCTCAAGAGGAAATCGGTAACATTGAATCGTTCCAGTCTGAGTCGCAATCGGTTTAAATCTCCCCGTTTTGAAATGTAGACGGGACGCTGGAATAAAGATTCATTGGCATACGCACGAAAATATCGATATTCTCCCGTCTCCGTATTTCTTAAAATGAGACCAAATTCCAGGTTAAGTCGAAAAGCGTGTCCTTGTCTATCGTAGATTTGTTGTGCCTGTTCCATCAGTTGAGGGACCGAAAATCGTTGGTCAGTGGTACGTTATATGTAGAGGTCACGGAACTTTCCTGGTGATTCTCTAAAATCAGAGGGGCGTTGCTTTCGTACACTCTTTTTAAAATGTCATCCTCGTCATCTTCCCATGGCGCTTGATCATTTTGCCAAGGTCGGGCTTGTAACGTTCCGGAACCGGTCTGGTAATGCTCCTGCATACCATGCAAGTATAATTGGCGTCGGTCTGAAAACCGTGCTGTACATCTTCTACATCGATATGAACTGCATCCCTGTTGCGGAGAGGTTGAACTGGACTCTGGTTTCGGTGACTGCGTATTCGGAACGTTTGGATTTGATGCTGAACTTGGACCAGGTTGCGTTGAGGTTGAACCTTTTGGGGATACCTAAGAAAGACCATTTAACAATAAATTAGAGAAAAAAAAAGGGAAATGGGAGACAACTCTGCATGTCTTCTAATTTTCGATCTACATGAATTGCTTCCCTTGTGTGTGTTTTTATCAGGTTAATCCTCATCGTGAAGTTTGTTTTGTTTCAAAGTTAATCCTTTTTTGACAACTTAATCTGTTTTATTTAAAGAACGTCTAATTTAATCTTATCTCAGAAATATTAATCGCAACTTAAAGAAAGAAAACTTTAGCATATTTTATGTAAGGATAAGGAAGCGCGGGTAAATTCTAAGAATATATTACCGTTCCATTACATTTCTGTTGGTGACTTTTCATATCTTTCTTGTACTTGTTTTTTTGTCCACATAAATTGCACTGGTATTTTCCGTCTGTGTGCTGAGAGGATACGTGGTCATCGAGAAAAATAATATGGTCAAAACGACACTCGCAATATCGACAAATGATCTTACACTTGAGAGTGTGTTGTTGTAAGTTGTCTTTTCGATTGAAGCTTTTGCAGCACTTTGTGCAGGTATATATTTGGTTGCCATGGACGGAGACATTATGTCGTAATAGGCCTGTTATACAGCTAAACGTTTTACCGCACACCTCACAAAGATGCATGTCTAACGTCGGATTGAAGACGTATTTCGTTGTAAATGAAATGTTTCAAGGTGTGCCTAGCTTTTTTCAAACACAGAACGGATGCTGTTTTTATTGGTCTAAAAATAACGTAATGTACTGCATCGTAATCGCATTAAGGGTTCTTATTGGGCAAAATATGTCGCATTGCATTGCATTATAATCGCACTAAGGTAAACGAAATGATTCAAGGTGTGCGTAGCTTTATGTAGGCAGAACGAATGCTCTTTAAAAGGCAATGTACTGCATCCTAATCGGCTCAAGGTTTCTTATTGGACGAAATATGTCGCATTGCATTATCGGATTAAGGTTTTATGTATATTTTTTTCATTGATTGTCATACGGCGTCATGCACTGTCAATGCGGCAGCGTACATCATAATCCGGATTATGGGTTGTCCATTTGTACACCCTAACATGCATAATGTAGTCAACGTTTGATTACAATTTAATCCAACCCTTGCTAAATTAAGTTTAAATTGTGTACACAGAAAATGATACTTTATGACAACTTAATCTCCTCGTTCGATTACATCTTTAACCTTTCAACATTTGATTACAACTAAAATTAGTAGTATATATATTTAGGATGATATTTATGGTAATATTGCAAACTTGATCGTTACATCCTTGACGATGCTATTATTTCTTTAATTCAAGAAGATTCATTCACTAAGACCTCTCGAGTTCAAGGATATTCGATCACTAATATACCTCAATCAAGGATATTTAGTCAATCTTATTAATTCGAATCCCGGACATGATATCTGTTAATTGTTGATTTGATAGCATTTTTAAAATCAAAACGGACAAAGCTCGATTTAATTCGATTGAAATAGAGAATAATTTTTCTTTAATCCAACACAACGTCCAAAACCAGTCTAGAGAGAAGATGGATTCACCAACAGTAATGACTTCAACACCGATAAACGTATGTATAATACACATTGTATACCTCGAATTGAATTCGTCATATCGTCACATTTTATAATCGAAATATCTGCACATTTTATATCGAAATATAAAACCGTGTTTACTCTCTTTCAGTTCAAAACTCCAACAAGGAAAAGGTTGCTCTTTTCAGAGAGTCTTAGCCCTGTCTTCGGTCCTGAAAATGGACAAAATGTTGCCCATTTGAATGAACAAGGAGGAATTGTAAGTATAATTTTAGAAATTAATATAAAAGAGTCTAACACCGATAAATGTATGTATAACACTGTATACCTCGAACTTCATTCGCTATATCTCCACATTTTATTATCGTAATATCTGCTCATGTATTATCGAAATGTAAAATCATTTTTACTCTCTTTCAGTTCAAAACTCCAACAAGGAAAAGGCTTTTCTTTTCGGAGAGTTTGAGCCCTGTCTTCGAAAGTAGACAAAAAGTGGCCCGCCTGAGTGATCAAGAAATAATTGTAAGTAAAATTTAAGAAATTAATCTTATAGAGTTGACTGGTGTTAAAAAAAGGGAAACCTAGAATACCAAATTTGATTCATAACTTAAAGAAAACATGGAAAATATATATGAATTACATATGCATTTTGAATGAATTTTTATACTAAAAGTTTGATTATTGTTTTGACAAAAAAGCTGTAATATATTTTTTATTTATTTATTAATTTTTATTTTGTTTTTGTTTTGCTATCAAGAGTATTTGTTTAACTTTTTTTTCTTTCTGTAGAGCATTGAATGGGAAACAGAAGAAACTAAGGAGGATACAATTGAAGATAGTCCAGTAAGCTTGTTTGAGGAAGCTGAGAGCCAGACTATACCATTTGGAGGCTATGCTGATAGCACATGTATGCAAGTGCAAGTGTTAATTGCATTTGTGTGTAAACATAACGCGGGACATTGGTTATATAGTTTTTCAAATATATATAAAACATGGGATTCTAGTGATGTTGTTTTTATTATTGATCGATTGGAGTGTAATTATTTTTTCATGATTAAACCATGGTAAGTGTAACTAAAAAAATCTCACTGAACCGTTCTTATACAAAAGGGTTTATCAGAAAAGTGTTGTCATGATATATTGTTAAAAGATTATGCAAGTTACTTCAGCGATCGATATGACGTACACAAGTGGTTTGAACTTGATTCAACAGATTACGGTTTAAAATGACAACTTAAGACAATTCCAATGGGTTACATTCTTTATTAATTTACCGTTATTAATACACAATATATTGTTATATTTCAAGTGAATATAATGACCACAGTTAAACAAAAAGTTACAATTATCTGTCCTTCGTTTGTTTCATTCACCACTCTGTAAAATTGTTTGGATTACACTCTGGACATGTTAGAAATCCCAACTGATTCATGTGGTCCGATCTATAAGGACACGGTACGACAGAAGACAGTTCGGGTACAAAGTCACCCATCACACTGGCAGTGTCTTTCAATTTGTTATATTCGGCAGGTCTCAAACAAATGCCTTTTTTGGTCGGTATGACATCGGTTTGATTTGGGGGTACCCAATATTGTCTAAGGTCTACACAGATTGAGTTCTCTTGAACAGTGGCGTAGACGTTTCCCCCCAGGTGAGATTTATACTCCCTCTTTTCCGTTAAGGCCTGGTCAATAAAGTCGAGACTGTCGACCAACATTTTCCATCGAGTTAAGGGTAGACTAATTCCTTTTTTCGTGGGAATCATATTTTTCTGGGAATCCCACTCTCTGATGTCGATTCTTATATCATCATTCCACTCTTTGGCTTGGACGAATCTGTTATTTCCCAATTCGATATTGCAACGTACTGCCATGTCGACGTATTTCGTTGTAAATGAAAAGTTTCAAGGTGTGCCTAGCTTTTTATATGCAGAACGATGGGTTTTTTCATTGGTCAAAATAAAACGCAATGAACTGCATACGTTTGCATCATAATCCGATGAAGTAATCTACATGTCCTTAAAAGGACTTTTAATGTAAGGGATTAACCATCTTATTAGGATATATAGTTCTGGTCTTTCATTGGTTGAAATATGACGCAATGAACTGCTAACGTTTGCCTCATAATCCGATTAAGTAATTAACATGTCCTTAAGATTAATTTACGGTATCATGACCTTATATGGAAGTACATATACGTCTATTGTTGGAGTTTGGGTCTATTTTAAAGTTCGGGGAAGTCCCTTTTGGCCGCCATCTTGGAACCTTAGAACCTTACGTTTTTACGGTATCCTAAAAAAGCTCAATCTCTACTACTCATCCATGTCTCATGAACTTATGTGATCGTTATTGCTGAATACTGATTATAATATACAGTAAAGTACTTTAAATCTGTGTTACGTTAGCATTAATTCTTAGGGAGAATTGATTGTTGTTTGCTTAACGTCCAGTGGCAAATATTTCATGCATATTCAGGACGAGAACAAGTTCAAAATAAATACAATAGGTAGGTTCTGTAATAGATTAAGGGATTAAGATCGGAGAAATTTAGACTGCCACGGGAAATGAGGGTATATTGGATAGGGGCAAAAATTTAGCCTTGCAACAGGTCACCTACGGACCCCTCAAAGAGTTGTTGCAAGGGTTCTTAACGTGCAATGAGCGTGGCACTCTCTTTACACGAGGCATCGGATTTAACGTCCCCATTCTGACCGGACGTGGCTGCAAATTTGTACATCCCGCACAGCTAAACGGACGCCCCACTTTAGCACGGGTTTTACTGCCGGTCGGAGGAAGACCAATGGTGACCATACTTCTATTCCCCAGTCACCCTTGGGGTGTCTAAGGGAGAAACCTTCTCTTTCCCTGAACTAACATTACAAATAACCAGGTAAGAAATTGGCACAGTACTAGCCTTGGTTATATACATACATATATATATATATATCACCTTACAACAATTTATGTCTAAATCCGCTCCGGTTTTAATAGTCAGACAATAGGATTATAATAGTCTAAGCCTGTAGTTTTTTTATAAGCTGAAATCTTGAAGAGTATACAATGGTTACAGAAAAAAATCAAACCCAAAAAACAAACAAGAAACACACCATTGCGTTTTATACTGAGAACCTTCACAACAAATTTAAAGAAGGCAACAAGAAGGGTGGGGCCATTGAACAGCATAGATCAGAGGCCGGCACGGTCGAAAAAAATTTTTGAATGTTCATAGCGAATCTGGATTAAGCGGATGTATAATGAGCATACTGATTGTTATTCTTATTGTTCTTGTAATGACAAGCCCCTTGCCACTGCTCAATCTATGATTAAACACATCGAAAGAAAACATTATGATGTGAATGGCACCGTGTTGGTGAATGATTTTGAGATGTCAATAAAAAATAACAAATGAGTTTGTAGAAAATAAAATGTGTTCAATAAGCATCTTGCAAATTTCCCATTCCTCTCTCTGTTTACCTCTTGCTTCCTTGCATTTGCAAAACAGATTTAGATGTAAAGGGAAAGAACAAAATGTTACACACTAAATATTAAACAGAGCACATACATGTTCCGAAAGCTGAAATCTTGTTTCGCACTGAACAATTTCCATTTTTAAATGCAATATGGAATATAATGTAGAAATAAGATAATGTATTGTTTGTTTTTCAAGGTCGTAGAAACAAAAAAAGTGTCTTCAAAGTAAATGTTTGCTTAGAGTAACTTTTGTTAAGGGAAATTTCGTAGATGAACATGTATACTTTTGGTTATAACTAATAACCAACACCTTTCATGTGAAAGCATTTGGCCAAATAAATATAGAATTGGGATCCATGTCTCAGCATGTTGTTACATCCATGTCTCATGAACTTATGTGACCGTTATTGCAAAATACTGATTATAATATACAGTAAAGAACTTTGAATCTGTGTTAAGTTAGCGTGAATTCTTAAGGAGAAACCTTCTCTTTCCCTGAACTAACATTACAAATAACCAGGTAAGAAATTGGCACAGTACTAGCCTTGGTTATATACATACATATATATATATATATCACCTTACAACAATTTATGTCTAAATCCGCTCCGGTTTTAATAGTCAGACAATAGGATTATAATAGTCTAAGCCTATAGTTTTTTTATAAGCTGAAATCTTGAAGAGTATACAATGGTTACAGAAAAAAATCAAACCCAAAAAACAAACAAGAAACACACCATTGCGTTTTATACTGAGAACCTTCACAACAAATTTAAAGAAGGCAACAAGAAGAGTGGGGCCATTGAACAGCATAGATCAGAGGCCGGCACGGTCGAAAAAAATTTTTGAATGTTCATAGCGAATCTGGATTAAGCGGATGTATAATGAGCATACTGATTGTTATTCTTATTGTTCTTGTAATGACAAGCCCCTTGCCACTGCTCAATCTATGATTAAACACATCGAAAGAAAACATTATGATGTGAATGGCACCGTGTTGGTGAATGATTTTGAGATGTCAATAAAAAATAACAAATGAGTTTGTAGAAAATAAAATGTGTTCAATAAGCATCTTGCAAATTTCCCATTCCTCTCTCTGTTTACCTCTTGCTTCCTTGCATTTGCAAAACAGATTTAGATGTAAAGGGAAAGAACAAAATGTTACACACTAAATATTAAACAGAGCACATACATGTTCCGAAAGCTGAAATCTTGTTTCGCACTGAACAATTTCCATTTTTAAATGCAATATGGAATATAATGTAGAAATAAGATAATGTATTGTTTGTTTTTCAAGGTCGTAGAAACAAAAAAAGTGTCTTCAAAGTAAATGTTTGCTTAGAGTAACTTTTGTTAAGGGAAATTTCGTAGATGAACATGTATACTTTTGGTTATAACTAATAACCAACACCTTTCATGTGAAAGCATTTGGCCAAATAAATATAGAATTGGGATCCATGTCTCAGCATGTTGTTACATCCATGTCTCATGAACTTATGTGACCGTTATTGCAAAATACTGATTATAATATACAGTAAAGAACTTTGAATCTGTGTTAAGTTAGCGTGAATTCTTAAGGAGAAACCTTCTCTTTCCCTGAACTAACATTACAAATAACCAGGTCAGGAATTGGCACAGTACTAGCCTTGGTTATATACATAAATATATATATATATATATCACTTTACACCAATTTATGTCTAAATCCGCTCCACTTTTAATAGTCAGACAATAGGATTATAATAGTCTAAGCCTACAGTTTTTTAAGCTGAAATCTTGAATAGTATACAATGATTACCGAAAGAAAAATAAACCGATTTAAGCTGAAATCTTGAAGAGTATACAATGATTACAGAAAAAATCAAAACCAAATAAAACAAACAAGAAACACACCCTTGCGTTTTATACTGAGAACCTTCACAATATTTAAAGAAGGCAACAAGAAGAGTAGGGCCATTGAACAGCAAAGATCAGAGGCCGGCACCTTTGGGTCGAAAATATGTTTTGAATGTTCATGGCGAACCTGGATTAAGCGGATGTATAATGAGCATATTGATTGTTATTCCTATTGTTCTTGTAATGACAAGCCCCTTGCCACTGCTCAATCTATGATTAAACACATCGAAAGAAAACATTATGATGTGAATGGCATCGTGTTGGTGAATGCTTTTGAGATGTCAATAAAAAATAAATAAGTTTGTAGAAAATAAAATGTGTTGAATAAGCATTTTGCAAATTTCCCATTCCTCTCTCTGTTTACCTTTTGCTTCCTTGCATTTGCAAAAGAGATTTAGATGTGGTAAAGGGAAAGAACAAAATGTTACACACTTAATATTAAACAGAGCACATACATGTTCCGAAAGCTGAAATCTTGTTTCGCACTGAACAATTTCCATTTTTAAATGCAATATGGAATATAATGTAGAAATAAAATAATGTATGGTTTGTTTTTCAAGGTCGTTGAAACAAACAAAAAAGGTGTCTTCAAAGTACATTTGTTTGCTTAGAGTAACTTTTGCCAAGGGAAACTTCGAAGATGAACATGTATATTTTTGGTTTTAACTAATAACCAACACCTTTCTTGTGAAAGCATTTGGCCAAATAAATATAGAATTGGGATCCCTGTCTCCCTGTAGATAAAATTTCGATGGCTGGTAATCCATGTTTGTACTTATTTTCGTCCAATCGGTTGTTAACAACACATTTAACTGTATTTTATCGCGCTCTCTACACGAGGAGTCGGATTTAATGTGGCCAAATGTACGCCCCACGTTGGCAAGTGTTTTACTGCCGGTCGACAGAGGACCTTTAGTGACAGTATTTCCATTCCCCAGCTACCCTTGGGTGTAGGACATGATGTT